AAGGATGGCTCTTGTGGGCTACCCCCCCCATTGCAGATTGTTGCGTGGATGTGTTGGAAAGGATTTATAAAAGGAATTCTGATGGTTGGGGCCCAGAATCAATCCAGAATTCCTGGACTCCTCTTCAACACAAACGGCTAAGATATGACCAGGGGTAGTCCGGCCAACTCAGGATTTGTTTTGGAGTTGGGCTTAACATGAATGCCCCCCAAACAGTGGGGGGGGACACTGTCTAAGCCGGGAAGACCTGACGTAATGCAGACTACCAATAAACCAGATGCAGTATTGGCAATGGAACTACAGTGGATCGGGGTGTGGGCGGCGACACATGTAGCCTTCTGGAGGCCAGAAGCATCCCACTCGTGTGACGAAGCGTTTTGACGCGTTTTGGTTGACCCGCTGGTCACGGAGGAACATTTTCTTGAAGCACAGAACCCTGTACAAGAGACAGGGGCCGAAAAACGATACCAACAATTCCCTGTTGCTTGTCAGATCTCTCCTTGTGTCCATAGTTTCCCTTGACTGATTTTGCAGCTTCAACGGCTCAACTCCGCAGGACTTGGCGGAGAGCTCCCAGTTCACGCTGGCCGCCTGGTCCTCTGTCGCCGGTGTGGGGGAGCTTTGTGTCTCTGCTATTGGGTTGGATCTTTAGACTTTAACTTTTTGGTAGCCTCATACTTCCTGGATTCCTTGTAGCCTGCAGGTTAAACTTTTTTTGCTGGATCTACTGCACCCAAGGTGTGGCCCAGCTGTTGGGTGCCCTCGATGCCTCCCACGTCTGCCACGGCCTGGTGCTCTACGTGGACGGCTTGGGCTCTCCGGGCGGCGGCGGCGCCAGCCTGGCGCTGCACGCCTGGCAACTGGCAAGAGCTCTGGGCGCCAAGGCGATCGTCCTTAAAACGAGGCTGGGCTCTCTTGCGTTGAAGGCTGATCACCTGTGAATGAGAACCAGGCTCAGATGAATGGCTTAGAGCGTGACTCAGAAGAGAAGCATGATAGAGGCTCTTAGAGGGGCATGCGTCCGGGGATGTTTTTGGAGATCCCCATGAGTGCAAGAAAGCATCTTCCGTTGCTCTGCAGGTTGGGCTCGGAGGGCTTTTGGCGCCGGGCTGGCGTGTCACCGGTCACCGCGGCCTGGCGCACGAAGCGGCGATGCGGCAGCCCCCGGCACCGCGCTGAAGCGCGGCTTCGCCAGGCCGCGGGTATGGAACCCAAGGGATCCATCAGGTGTTCAACAGGAATTGCCTCAAACTGGCGTGTGGCAAGCCTCTCCTAAATCTCCAACAGAACCAAAGGGGTGTCCATTTTTTCTGGGGACGAAGGGAGGTCGTAAGAGCACCCACTAGAGACCGTTGCTCGAGCGTGAACCTGATTTAGACCAGGCCAGCCACGCTAGGATGGGCAACATGGGAAGCGCCTCCGTTGTTTTGGTGAGAAGTCTCGCACGAAATGAGGCCCCTATCCATCAGGCTTTTTGTTGTGAGGTTGCTGTGGCAGGTTAGGCAGCCCCAGCGCCACAATGGTCAACTTCCCTGAGGAGATTGCGCCCGCTCCGCGTGGTGTATGCCGAGAAGAGCTGCAGCAGATCGTGGAGTTTTTGGTGGAGGCCGTGCTGCAAAAGCCGCGTCCAAGTTGCGGCGTTCTCTTTATGACGTACATTAGTGACAAGAACTTGTTTGAAGGGGCGGGGGCCTATAGCATGGTGCCCCGCCAAATCAGAAGGTTGAACTTGATCTCAGCTTTTTGCACGCCATCGTTTGCTGCCCTTGGTTCGCCTGGGAGTGATGGCCTATGAGAGCACGGCTGCAGGAGTCCAGCCAAAGTGCGGTTGCTCCTAGGTCAGTATATGAAGGCGGGTTAACAGAGTTCCAACGGCGAATCACACAGACTTCGCAAACAAATGCTGAGTGTATGCGTTCGCCTCATTTGGAGAAACATGGCTAAAGTGAGGGCTTCCCCTGAAGCCAGGAGTTTGTCAATCCATCAAGCGTGGGCAGCTACTTTGGAGCATGTGTGTTTTTGATCGAAAGGGCCGAGCCGAGGGCCCAATACATGGTGCATGTTGATTGTCAGAAAGGTTCACCAGCCACACGCCCTTCCTTTGCCGCCTCTTGTTGCGCATGGGAAATGCGTTACGAACGAGGGCGACTTTAGGCCAAAACTTGACCAAATGGATTCTTTCACCTAACTCATGTTGTTCGGAGGTTTTCCTGCCGTTGGCAGAGGCAGCCAGTATGCTAACCTCGCCTGAGTTGCTAGACGCTTGCTTGTGCAGGGGCTATTTCACGCAAATGTGCATCAAGGGTGGCCATGCCTGGACACAATAATTGTAGACCTTTAATTGGAATACTTTATTGTGGCAATTTACTTTCCCACTTTAGGATCTTGTGACTGTTTTGGGGTTCTCGATTGTGGCATTTTTTTGCCGGAAAGAATGCCGGGCAACAAAACCCTGGCGCACAACAACTGGCCAAACAAAACCAGACAACACACGGGCAAACAAATCCGGGCAAACATTAGGAACTCCTTCTTTGCAGTGGTCCCCAAACCATCATTTTTAGGAGAACTTCTTTACAAAAAATAAGTAAGGGCAAACATTCGCGCAAAGGAGGTTGCCCACAAGAGGCCCTGAGCCTCTTGAACGTTACTGTTTTGGGGTCCTCTTTAGTGTCCAACTATATTGGGGGTTGCTTGCTGAAATTCTTAAATCAAAGTCTTAGCCTTTTACAATAACAAGTGTGGTTCACCTAACCTAGCTCTTAGCTTCATAGGGTAAAGGCCTTGGATCCAGGAAGTCCATTTTGCCAGTGCATCAAAAAACCAGATAACTTCTTTACAAAAAAGTAAAGGCAAACATTCGCGCAAAGGGGGTGCCCACAACAGGCCCTGAGCCTTTTTAATGTGTCTGTTTTGGGGTTGTTTCGGGTGGGGGTGTAAAGTGGGTCCAACATTATTGGACTTGTTCCAGTTCCGGCGTGTGCCGGGCTCTGTGTTTCTTCTGCGAGCTTGCACCAGGGTAGATGCCAACACCTTGCTGAGTTCCTCAAACCGTGTATGAAGCAGCCGAGACAGCCCAACTACGAGAATTGCATCAAATGTCGGACGGGGGCCACGACCATGACTTTGGCTTCAACAAGGAAAAACCCAACTCCAGGAATCACTGCATTTTTTGGCCGTACAACACTTTATTTCAATTTTTGCAGCATCCTTGAACTAGACGCATCTAGACGCAATTTCCATGTTGATGGGTGGGCTTTGAATGAAGTTGCGCTACCTGTTTGTCCTTGTCATAGGGTTGTATCCCTCAATGTGTATTTTCCTCTGAGCTGATGAAGGCCTTTGCTCAAGCGGCCCCATGTCAATGACGGTTGGGCTTCTGTTTTCACATGTATATATATAAGCACATTGTATGTGTTCCCGTTAATAACGTAAATGGTATGAGCCGTGCAATATAAAAGTGGAACACGTCCACAGTACCCACCCCTTATTGAAGTTATGTATCATTGGTGCCGCCCTCGCCGCTCTGCCAGGCGTGTTGGTTTGGTGCCAAGTAGAGGGAGGCCCGAAGGAGATCGAACACGTTGGCGCCTTGGGGGGGGGGGCCTTGACGCAAACATGTTGGATTTATCCTTGGGACATTTTGCCCTTCTGAACCACACTAGCTTTGAGGGATCGACTCTCTTTTTGGGGTACGTTTTTTTTTTTTGATACCACATCATCGAATGGTTTACCAAGTGCATAGTTACAGCGCCTGTTTGTTTCTGTCCCACTTGAAAGGCTGGCATGCTAGAACCCTGGTTCTGGATGTTGCGTTCTGCGACGACATGCGTTCATGCGTATGTTTGCTCCAGGGAAAACACGCCTCAAGCTACTGGAACTTCTGGTAGGGCTGCAGTGTTGAATGAATATAGCAGTGTTTTTTTCGTGTTTGAAAATAGTTTGTAGCAGGGCTCTGCAAATATAGATTTGCTCATTTGATACACCATTCTATTGCACAATATTCGGAGAGTCAATGGGGGAAACAGGCTCGGTTCAGAGGCGAAGGAAGCGAATTGCCGGTGAGGTTCTCAAAATACTCGCTAGAAATGCGCGGAACTCGAAGGTTGTGTTCGAAAGGACGCCTTTTCAAAAGCACAGGATTTGGGGTTCCATGTCAATTTGTGGTGAAACTACTGTGTTGAACTCGGATCCAGAAGCAGCTGGTTGACTTTGAGACTGGGGGCTCTTGCATTCAAGAAGGATCCAGATGACTTACGGAAGAACCCCTGAGACTGGTCCGCAGGGTTTTTTGATTAGCATGCCGTGATTTCAGCTGGCAGACTACTGTTCAAAGGTCAAGCTGATTTCTGATTTCCCTAGGTGGATGCTACAGAATTCTTATGATCTGATAGAACTGTTTTAAGACAAGCCTTTGGTTTATGCATGTGCTTTGAACTCCTTGTTGCAAGTCTTCCTCGGCCCGGCAGGTGTTTCTTCCACTTTTGCTACGGAGCGACGGAGAGGGCCCAGGCGGGCCTGTGTGCAGCTGCACGGTTGAACGGTGCGTGGGGCATTTGGTGTGTGCTTCTGAGTACTGAAGCATATACCTAAGTTCTGAGGCCTGGATGTGAGCATGTTCTTTGCTCTCCCTTTGTTTGTAAGTCATAGGTCGGGTTGCCGCCTCGTGTGTTAGTCTTAGTGCATGCCCACAAAAGCTGAAGCCTTCCAAGACACTGAAGTTGACGGGTACTCCATCATGCGTTCCTCGGTGGCCCAGTGTGATTTGTCAAGATCAGCATGCAAGCTAAGCGGTGGTCAATCAAGAAACTGGCAAGTTGCTTTGGCGACGCCGTCCGGGTAGCAGGTCATTTCCCAAATCAACGCCTGGCAAGGTCAAGATACGTTTTGCGGGTGCATGGACGGCTGCACTATCGGCATCTATCTGGCTCAAGCAGGACAATGCCTTTTCGCTTGAGTCATTGAGCTGTGAGTGGATTATGGAGGATGGTGTGTGGCGCTCTATGGCGCTTCATGTGCCAAGAGAGCATTCCGCTTTCGTAGTAGCTCGTCATGCAACACATGGCTACTTGCTCCTGCTGAAAGGCGCAGGGTGCGCAGGGAAGAAGCAATTCGAACTGCCCGTGGGGAGCTTTGCCCACAGCGAGGTGAAAGGCGCCAGCTACTACACCACAGCCAAGGCAGCGGCCATTGGGGGGCTGCTCTTGCAGACTGGCCTAGACTTTCGTAGAACGCCTGAGCGTTTGCAAAGGATGCGCTTCCCCGTGCAAATCCAAGAGAAGATAGGCAACTGTTGCTTTTTCGAGTTGGTGCTGCATGATGCGGATTCCCTTTGCGAGGGGGACGTTCAGAGCAGCTCCTTGTCAGGAGGGCTCAGCTTTTTGCTCAGCATCTCGGAGGAGCACTTCGGCTTCACCTTTCAGCGCGACCTCCAGAATGCAGCGGCTGCATTGGCGACTTCACACAAGCGGGTCTGCATGGCGCTGCTGGCCACACGAAGCATGTATTCCCAGCAAAACTGCTGCTTTACAGGGCTTTGGAGTGTCCTTGGCGGGCACCCCTGGTGGGGGCAGCAGAGAGTAACAGCTGCGAAAACTAGAAGTTTCACCTTTGGGCCAGCTTCCGTGTGGCTTTTGTAAGAAGCAACAAGCCACTGGGACGGCATCAGGTTTGCGAAAATGTGCTGCAGTAGTGCTTGCGAGGGACATACGCCCATGTTCACAACCAGTTCTCCAGAGTTTGCAGATCAGTGCGGGGTCGCGCAATATCTGACATGCATGAAGTTGAATCATCCCGTTCACTCCACCCGTGTGAAAGGCATGGCTCATCCATAAGATCCATACCTGTTGGCTACTGTATGACTTCCACAAATCACTTTTTTCTTGAAAAACTAGACCTGCTATGCACAGGAGCTGCAAGATCAGGGTGGTGCTTGGGTTTCAGGGCCATGCGTGCTACACCCGCCTATTTCACTTCAATTGACCAAAGGCCGTGTTTCATTTTGCGGCGGTCACTTGTTCTTGTAGTCACTTCTTCCTAGTTATAGAGTAGGGTGAGTTGTTCAAAGTAACCAAGTGGATTGGGTTGCATACTTTCCGCTTTCACTACGCACCGAAGCTGGCAAACGTAAGTCTAGTGGCCGAGTCACAGGTCGGTTCCCCTTCAAAAGCATTTCCGACAGGGTGGAGGACAGCCACATGGCTGTTGCAAGCGTATCTCCCTGTAGAACGATTTCAACAGGGACCAATTTGACTCTGCGTTGTTCGCCAAGAAGGATGGATCACCCTCCACTGGACACAGGAGCCCAGCGACCCTTCAACATACGGAGAACAACGGCAATCGGGTCGCTTGGGTTTTTCGAATTCTGGTCTCTTGTGCCTTCTCAAGGGCTTGTGCAAGACACAATAAACCCTAAACCCTAAGAACGCTAAGAGAAGCAACTCTAAAACCTCGACTTATGATATTTTGAAGCAGTGTTCTGCAGGCAGACCATCAGATGTTGGCTTTTTGTTGGTCCCCTCCTTCAGGGGGGTGAATTTGTTCAATGACCTATTTAAGCATGTTTGCCCACCCCCGTCCAAAGCACTGGATCTTGACAGCCAAGCATTGCTTTGCAAGGCTAGCAAACGTGGGCCGGACAAGGTCATGATGGGTTTGACGTGCCTCCACGTGCTTACGCAGGAAACATGACGAGGAGGCGATTGCAAGCAAGGCTGCTCCAAACGTATTTTACTTGAGATCACTTGCATGTTCAATACATTTGTTTTATCATTATTTGTTTTGAATGCCGAACCAGAGGACGAACTGGGGAGTCATTGGTTCCAGACGTCAGGCGCAATTTCCAGCATGCCCTGAGCCCTTCCCTGTTCAGCACCCCCTTTTCTGTGGGTTCCTTACCGAAAGTCGACCCCAAGCGCTGCTTGCAACTGGGCCAGGGGCCAGAAGCTGGGTTCTGAGCTCCAAAGGCTATATATGGCTTGGCCGTTTGAATGGTATGAGATGAGCCGTTGATGTTTGAAGGGTATCTTAAACCCTGGGCAGGTGTGTATGTTTACCAACATGGTTGCTTGGAAAACATTCCCCTGCGGAGACCCGTAGGGGACTAGCAACAGGCGATACCCTGACAAGTATTTCGCAATAGACAACTAGAGAATTGCTAACCCCTACCGTTGCTGGAAGCGCAAGTGCGGCAAAGTGAGTGCCACAGCTGGAAATCGCATTCAGAGCTGGAGCCCTGCTTTATTCTGCTATTTTCACACCCAATTTAAATAATTTAGACATGTAAGGTTGCTCTTCCAACCTCTTGCTTTTGCGCATGTGCTGAACAATCCACTCGGCACCTTATCGCTCGGCCCCGTTTGACCGCTTGGTGGCTACAGAACTTGCTTGACACTTCCTGGCAAAGATTCGGGATGCCACAGGTTTCAGCAAGCCCTTCAAGGTGGTTCATGCCAGCCCCAGTTTCCCTTGCTCACCGTTGGTGTTTACATCGAGGTTGAACCATCTAGTTTGAGAGATTGCATTTGCTAAGCTGAATACTTGCTTCCTGTAAGGCTGCTTGGCATTTGCTTGGCGCTTGCCAGTTCAGCGGACACTTTGAGCCTGTGGTTGGCTTTGCTGGTTTTGGCCAGGCATTGAAGCTGAAAGACAATGAGCCCGAGCCCGCGTCAAGTCACTTTGCTTCACACAGGTGCATTGGCTTTTGACCACCCAGACTAAGTTTTGGCCGTGGTTTAGATACTTGCCCGAATGAAAGAGGCAAAGTGGTGATAGACTGATCAGCGTTGGGAGTGTTCAGCTCTTTGCAGTCATTGCTCGCACTGATTTGGGCAAGTCCTGGAACATTTTGCGTTAGCCATAGCTGCATAAGCAGATGCTCGCAGATCTGGCGGAGGTAAGAGAGATCCGCAGCATGTCGCAACCAATTGTTCACTTTGAGGCTGGTTCAAATTCACCACAGAAATGCCGACGGCGATGCAGTTCGGTTGGTGGTCGCTCAGATATACATGACTCCATTTTTGCAGGAGTCCACAGGTCGGGAAAGCTCTAAATTCTCAAAGACCAGAAGGGCATCCAAAAGGAAGCCGCCCATCTTCGGCGCTCCCCTGTTCTTGAAACCCCCCAAGCAACCCGTCAAGTCATTTCCCCTGAATTAAACCACACTGCCAAGAGGTATTAGCTATTTTCAGGAGCGACGTTGGCGTTAAAAGATGTCCTTCTAATGTCGACATCATATTAGTAAACGGGGTCCCCCCCCCTCAACTGTTTTGTATTTTTATTATTTTCGGGCAAAGTACCGCAATAAAATCAATTGTACTTGTAGTATTGCTTCCAGTACTTGCAGTACTTGTAGTACTTGTAGTAGTAACTGTAGTACTTGTAGTAGTCCTTGTAGTTCTGCTGCTTCTAGTATTTGTAGTACTTGTAGTAGTGGCTGCAGCACCTTGTAGTAGTCCTTGTAGTCGTGCTTGTAGTGGTACTTGTAGTAGTACTTGTACTGCTTGTAGTACCTGTAGTACTAGTTCTAGAGTACTTGTAGTACTGCGCTACTTCTAGTACAACGAGTACCCGTACTACTGCTTCAAGTACCAGTAGTACTTGTAGTACTTGTAGCAATACCAATGCCAAGTTCTTCCAAGGGGTGGCTTTGGGGTGTTTATTAATGTGAACCCTTTTACTAATGCGGGTTTGGGGAGCTTGTGTGGGGTACCTCATGTTGGAGTCCGGGGACATCACTTTTGTAAAGAGACTTCATTTAAAAGCCGCACTTTCCGGGCATGTATGTTTTTTAGAGATCTGAGGTCTGCTGGGGAGCCTTTGAAGGTTCCAGTTATATAATTTTCTTGCCTGCTGCGCTGCACACTTGTTGCATGCATGTGTCTCTTTGTTTGGCATCAACTTCTGCACGCTACCTGCTTACTTTTGAATCATTTTGGACTGGATTGCCCCTGACACGAAGCAACTTGTTTGGCTCGCCCCCGCGTTTCGGGGAATTTTATTAATGTGAGTTTTTTGGGTGGTTTATTATTGTTGTGCTTTGGAGGGTCGACTTGGGGGGGCGGTGTTGTCTGTTTGCAATTAACTTTTGGATTAGACATGATTAGACCCTTCTTAATTTAGTATTGGGTGAAAAAGCGGGTCCGGTGGCCGAGAATTTTATTAATACGCCCCCATTTATTAAACTTAGGTTGACATTAAAAAGGTTCGACTTCCTGGCAATGGGTTTCCTACCAAGTATCAGTTTGGCATGTTCTGGTGGTTTGATGCTTTCACCGATCCATTGTACAGCGAGCAACTCCGCCCATCGTGAAAGCCTCTTCCTGAAGGCTGTTCTTAGTCCAGATTGGCGAGCTATGACCCCTCTTTTTTGCAGGTTTGTGCCTCCATTTTATCCCAGCGTGTGTGTTTTACATGGCCAGTCGTTCATGCAGAATTTGCACATTGCATTGCCGGGTGACTGCTTGGTGGCTCTGTGGTGTGGCCTTTTGGCTTTTCCCGCTTCTGGAGGACAATGACCGTTCCTCGCTAAGTACCCAACAAGTGTGGCCTCTTGTGCGGGGACAATTTGACCAAGCCTGATCGATAGTAGTTGCCGCCTTGTCCGAGGCTGACTTGGACGTCGTTTCTCCATTTCTCCAATTGCGCATGTGATGCCCGAATGGTTGTTTGCTTCATGTCCTTCAAAAGACCTTTGTTTCAAGCATGCATTTGGAGGTTGGACGTATGCAAAGGTAAGGGGCCAAGGTTGGGGGATCCTATTCGGGGATTCTAGGATGGGGCGTGCAATGAAGAATCCCAAAACCGCCGCTAGGTTGGGTTTCTGTTGAATCCCACGTCACATCGTCCAAAAAGCATTCCGTAAAGGATTGAAGATGCTCAACAAGCAGTCGTTGGAGAGTGCTTCACATCGTCCAAGAAGCATTCCGTAAGGGATTGAAGATGCTTAGCAAGCAGTCGTTGGAGTGCTAGCAACTAGAAAACATTTTTTTTTTCAAGGGGCAGTTGGACCATTCCTTTTGGCTTGTCTTTTGACCTTTCTCCGAAAACGGGCAAGGGAGTTCCAAGACGCAAAGTGTCTACTTCCAAGGGAGTGACATTTGAAAGACAGAAATGGAGTAGTCACAGAAAACGCAACTGGTACTTGGCATCACAGATTTCCGGACATGTCCCACTAGTATTCGTCGGACCCCTCTTCAAGAGGAACCTTCCAGTGCCCGGAAGGGGCAACCACGATAGGGTCCAACGGTTGACCGGGCTTCGTCGAATCGCATTTTCGCAGGACCAGGTCCAGCTCGGCTTTGCGGTGAATCGCAGCGTGGTGGCTGTGTCAAGGAGCGTTTGGGCGAGTGAGAAATCCTCGGACCAAGAAATTCGCCCACCTTGTGAGTTGACCCTTCTCAGCTAGCCCCTGCTTCGCGAAAAGAGGACCCTAACAGAAAAGGGTTTGGTATTTCCAGTCGTTCATGTGGGTTCCACCCTGAAAATTCACTTGATGTTTGGTTGGGTTCCCGACTCAACATGGATTCTACTGGGGTGACTGGGCAGCTGTGAGTGTCTTCCGCATTCTTTTGGCCCAAAGCCCATGTTCATATCAGGCCGGCCTCACGGCAAAGTCATCAGTGAATTCGACCAGACCCAT